TTACTATTATTGTTATTTTCAAAGTTTGTATTATTACTTTCATTAATATCATTATCATAATAATAATAATAATTATTATTATCATTGTTATTGTCATTATTATTGTTAATATCTTTATTATTGTTATTATATTATTACTATTGTACTATCATTATCATTATTAACATCAGTATTATTATCATCATAACTATCACCATATCATCATTACCATAAATATTATTAACATTACCACCATTATCGTTATAATCTTTATTCGTATCAACTTTATTTTCAATATTATTATTGTCATTTATTATTATCTCTATTTCATTCTTTTACCTATCATTATGATCATAATTATTTTCATTATAATAATAATTGTTATGATTATCATTATTGCCATTATCATTATTTTTTATCATTATCATCATCATTACTATTATTGTTTTTGTTGTTGTAATTGTTATTATCACTATTACTGTAAACATTACCAGAAAATATTAAATATTTTGTGAAGTGTAGGATGTTAAGTGCTAATGCACACATACACACACACTCACATATATACACACATACACACACACATGCACATACATACACACATACATGCACACACACACACACACACACACACACACACACACACACACACACACACACACACACACACACACACTTGCACACATGCCTATATATATATGTATATGTATATATATATATATATAATGTATATAATGTATATATATATATATATATATATATATATATATATATATATATATATATATATATATATACATGTAGTATTAAGAAATGTTTCATCTATTATTCAGATTTATCGTTTATTCAAATTTTATCCTATTTTATTTCTTCGACAAGGTTCTAGAAGCGTGGGGTACTGCTGGGACACGTTGCCACGTCAACAGATATTAGTGCTTTATTTCCTTTACCATTAAATATCTGTGGTATTGATATCTTTTAGTCTGATTATTCTTCCAACATAACTATTTAGTAGCACTGTCACTATCCGGGTTTTGATCTACTCTGTAGGTAGCATAGGTCTCTAATGAATTCCCGTGTTAAAGGGATTAAAAGATGAATAAATATTTTAACATTTGTAACCCTTAATATTTTATTCAGTAACTAAACAAGGAACAAATGGCATATCATTCTGTAAATCTTAGCAATACACATAATTAAAACAAGTCATTTTATCAAATAATTTCTTTCATAACTGTTAATTCTATATACCCTTCCTTTTCCTATCAATTAGAAATCAATGACATTTTAATAAACATAATAAAAATATACGTGAGACGAAATCGAGACCCTCACACCCAGTCTAACCATGTTCTTTCCACGATTTTACCTAGGCCATGAGCAAATATTTCCCTTCCTTTCATCTTTATGATTTCCCTCTCTTACACTTCCCTCTAATAACTAATTCCATTCTCTATCTATTCATTGCTACCCTCCGGAACTGTCACCTGCGACTAGTGCCGTCACTGTACCCACGGACCACTAAAATAACTAAATGTCCCCTAGCAACAAGTCATTAGACAAAGCATTATGGTGGTTGTTCTCGCCACATTCTCAATTTCTCTTCTTTGTTTACAGGAGTAAGGCCAGGACTCGTCTTAATATCGCAAAATGATATAAAGAGATTTTAGAATTACATTAATACACATATCAAGCAGTAAAATCTATTATATGAGGGTAAAATGTGACTTTTAATACCCACACTCAGCTTTGTTTACAGAAGTAAGGCCAGGACTCGTCTAACGAAAAATCGTTAAAGTAACGAACTTATTGGTTTCCCGCAAATTAATTGTTAACATGTAAGCAAACAAACCACCTACAAATGATTATAATAATTCTCTCTATCTGTTACAACACTAAATTTTGTAATATTGATATGTCTTTACAATTACGGAAACATATAAACAAATATTTCAGTGACGAACGTACATCTTTCAAATCAGCAATAGTGCACCTTTTTTAATGTCGAATAATATTTTTTAATGTAAATAATGATCTCGACATACACACACACACACACACACACACACACACACACACACACACACACACACACACATATTATATATATTATATATATTATATATATATATATATATATATATATATACGTGTGTGTGTATTCATATAGATAGATAAATGTATGTATTTATCTCTCTCTTTTTCTTTTTTTTTCTTGCTTTTCTTTTCTCTGTTAATCGTTATTCATTTGATTTTTTCTTTTCTTTTCTTTCTTTCTTTTTTTGTTCTCTCTCTCTCTCTCTCTCCCTCTCTTTCTCCTCTCCCTCTCTCGCATTTACTCACCCCATCAGTCCCTCCCTCGCTCCCTCACCTCCTGCCACCATAAACAATTCTTTCCTAATCACAATCAAGATAATGTCACTCCTAGTCAGCTGTGGAAGTGGACGCGGCTGACGGAAAATACACCGCCAGGATATCCACAGAGGAGAGAGAGAGTCTCGGGGCAGCCTCTCCGTGCCCCGGGGAATCCCCTTCTCCTTCTACAACAAACATCACGCCCAGGCAGCTAAGGATCTCATTAAGGTGTTCCTCGGTGAGTAATATTTGTTTTTCATTCACAAGAGCGCTCACTTCCATTCATTCTTTTTTTTCTTTGTTTTCCATTTTTTTCTTTTACCCCACGGTGATTTTACATGTGTATAAGTGCCGGTGGGTGGCTGTGTGTGTGTCAGCGTGTAAATGTTCATGTATATCATTATGCACAATTCAGTGTGTGTGTTCTGTGTATGTTTATATGCATCTCTCTCTCTCACTTACACACACACACACACACACACACACACAGAGAGAGCCAACACACTCCTTGTGTATAAACCCTATAAAACAGAGTCCCAACTTTGTGAGGTCATCAAAATCTGACGTCATGACCTCCTCGTGTTGCTACTGATCTAGCATCCCCCCCCTCTCCCCACACACAATCAGCTACTTTAATTACAGCCATTATCATCTAATAATCACTACTGTTAAAATAAAAGTTATAATCATGACTTCCATTTCGTACGTATACAGTAATATATCTGTATAAATAGTAATAGCATGACGAATTTTCACCATTATCCACAGATGCAAAGGATCTTGAGGAGCTTCGCCGAATCGCCGTTGTTGTTCGAGACCATGTCAACGAAGCGATGTTCTTATTCGCACTCTCCCATGCTTTCTACGAGAGGAATGTCAGTCTGGAGTTATTTGTTTCGTGTGTGTGTGGTGGGCACGCGTGGTCTGATTTAAGGAAATAAATAAAATTTATAAACAATATTACTGAAATCCCAGCGCTTAATAAACGAATGCTTCTGCATAGGTGTGAATACAATAACTGAACATGGGCGAAGTGAGATCTTGACTACTCCTGTGACTGAAAATATATCTTCCTTCCCATGTCCGTATGGGGCGTATATGTGCTTTACCATTAAATGTATCCACAGATGGAGGATATGCCTCAATATGAATAAAATGTTGTTCTTTCCCCTTCCTAATAAGGATCTAAGGTCTGCTGCTTTACCCCCGTTGGAGACTATCCTGCCAGACCGGTTCGTTCCCACAGTAGTCCTCCACAAGGCAAAGGAGTTGGCCAAACAAGCGATGATTAGAAAAGACATGGTAACTATATCACTCCCTTATTATGTACGT